CTCTCGGGCATTTTTTGACTCTGCAACTAATTGCCATGGGCTGATCCAATGGATCCCACGGATAAACAGTTACGCTTGGTAGGTGAGCCATCAGCTCGTGCACAGATCTAGCCTGTTGAAACCCAAACCCACTGCCATCCAGTCCACGCCGCCTCCCACCAACAGTAGATCTCTATGGGAGCAGACAGAGTCCTCTTTCTCCCGCCTGCACCGATTGGGTGAGTGGTCCCCTTTGCACTAAGGAGCCCTGGGGGTCTGGCAGGCTGTCCCCTGCGCTGCGAGTCAGCAGGTCAGAGGTCCGGCCTACCAGCCACTGCATGGAAGAGAGACAAGGCCGGCTGCTCCCATGAAGATGTCAAGTCTCGGGAACCCAAACAAGCAGCTCTTTACTGTCCGGCTGGGTCCCCAGGAGTCGAGATAGACTCAGTGGCCACCGGGTGGGCTCTCTTTTTGATGCTCACCTCTCTGCTTACAGCCTCTAGGGCACCTCCTGATTGACTTCTATGTACTGGGCAGGTTCTCTCCCACTTCCTGAGTTTCTAGGTGGATTCTCTCTCTCTCTCTCTATAGATAGATAGATAGATACAGATATAGATATAGATATATAGATATCTTTAACTCTCTGCACCAAATGCCTTGAAACCCCTCCTGCGGCCCCCTGCTCTGAGCTTCCCCATTTCCATGTCTCACTCATCCACTCATCCATCCATCCATCCATCCTCTCTCCCCCCTCCCTCTCTAGGCCTTCCTCCTTCTATGTTGGTATTTACTTCAGGTGAGACTTCGAGCACCCAGAGTTGAACTTGGACTGCAGGCCACCCTCCCCCTGCAGGTCCTGGGCCTTCTCTCTGCACTCTCTCCCTCCCGCTAATCTCCTTTCCTCTCCCTGGAGCATCTGTTTAGCTGAATCCCAGTTTCTGGCTTGGAATGACTGACACCCCAACTCCTTCCTCCCTATGGATCTGCTTGTCTCCTCACACTGTCTTCCTTCTTTCCGTTTTTCGGTCCCTTGTTTTCCATGTTCCTTCTCTTCGATCACTTATGCCCTCCCTCCGGCATCTTTCCACTTCCGTGGGCCCCTCTCGCTCGTTTATTTCGCTCTTTGTCCTCTTACTGGCAAACCCCAATGGCACCCACCCACCGTGGCCCATCCCGGCTGCCTCCTGGTCCATGTGTGGCCCTCTCTCACTCTGAACAACTTGGGAGCTTGTGGACTTATTTTTAAGTGACCTCTGGGGAGAGTCAACTGCACCCATGCCCATCTCCCGTTCACTGGACCTCCTTATCTTCGTCCTGCACTGTCCCCTCTGGCCACCTTGCCCACGTCCCTGGCTGTTTATCTGAGTCCTTATCGCTCCTGCTCTCATGCATTCATTCATTCACCCACCCGTCCGTTCACGGACATGGACAGCGTGTCCAACACCAGGACACTGGCTCCCCGACAGGAAGACAAGACATTCACAATAGCTGAGCTCCAATGTGTGCACAGTCCACAGTCCAGAACACGTACAAATGGCAGATGCAGAGCGGAGGCAAGTCAACAGGAGAGTGGCCACATCATCCTGGGGCTCGAGTCCTGAGCGAACCAGGGTCCCATCTGAGACCAGAGTCTAGATTCCCTAAGCCCCGCCCCCTTCCACCTTTCCACTCTGCCCACCCCGCCCTACCCCCGCCCGGGCCCCCTGTGAATGGCCATCCCCATGAGAAACCTGTTTCAAGACCCTCAGATACATAGACACACACACAATGTACACGATCCCGAACTGGGTGGGAAATGAAAGACGTAGAGTTCTGTTTAAATACATGGCTTTGTCTGCAACAATGTAACAATATTGCGGCCTTTCAAGACCAACACAAAGGGAGCGACCCATAACCATCGCTGAGTGTCTCAGTCCCACACAATAAAGAACTTGAAGCGGTTTCTCCGGAAACTTTGAAGACAAAAAAAATCTGCCCATTATGTTTTCCAGACATTTCAAGGGGCGGGTGAGCGGAGGTCACTGACGCTCAGGAGCCTGTCTGAGAGGCCGGTTCCTTCTCTCCGGGGCCCTTGAAGACCTCCCCCAGGCTCGCAAGGGTGCCTCCATCCCAGCCTGCCCTGCGGCACAAGAGCCAAGGGAGACTCAGTAATGAAAGGGGCATTCATTTGGAGGCATAAGAAAAGCAGGAGCACTCGTTGGGGAGGGTACTTGAAGAGGCCTATGGAATTCTCCACCACACAGAGGGTCCAGGGGCACACAGGCCAACGCGGCGTGGCTGTACAGACCCAGCTGTCCCAAGAGCTGACCTATAGCCATTGCTCAACCCCGCTTCCCATGAGAGCCCCCCGACACACACCGTGTGCTCTGCGGAGCAGCCCCTCACCCTCAGAGAACAGTCACGGACATGAACCCCAACCCTTGAGCAACTTACGGTTCTTCAAGCCGGAGGGCGTTGGGGGTCAAAGGTCCTGAGGTCCCATCCCATGGAGGAGTCCAAGACGGCGACTTCGGCTGGAAGAAGAGGACCCTGAGTCCCTGACACCGCACCCTGGCCAGGCCGACGATGGGGGGGCTGGCGGGGCTGGTGGGGGGAGTATGGGGTGGCCTGAAGCTGGGACTCCCTCATTCACAACAAATGTGGATTCATTGAAGCCACACATTTTGTTTCTCTGCCCTCGTTCACAGGGTGCCCACCCACCCAGGCCCCCCGTGCCCAGGCCAAGAGCAGAAAGCAGAGCCATGACCCAGAACTCCTACCCAGCAGCCTCTGGGCATGTACCTTAGTGTGTGGTAGAACCCAAGCGAGTAGAGCCCTGTATGAGGAAGAACCAGGCTGGAGACCCAAGAGGGACAAAGGGCCACCTCAAGGACATGGAGGGCCAGTGGGGACCACAGGGTGGAGCTGGACCGGGAAAGACTGGACAAGAGGGTGGCAGGTGGATCACCAGGGCTGTGGGCCACTTCTCAGGGTGGTAGGGTATCGATGGGCAGTTTGCCAGTAGCACAGCCCCCTTGGCACCCATGCATGATGGCATCTGGGGTGCTGGGGCAGACATCCTTCCCCCAACTCTCTTTTGGTGGGCACCTCAAGAAGCATGACCAGACACACCCAGCACCTCCCGGCACGAGCTGCTTGGTAGTTTCCAACTGCAGACCTTGAGGATCACAGCCCAGCACAGAACCACTATGCCACCAAGGCTCCCCCAGTGTGCAAAACAGAAGAAATGGATTCTAGTGGCGAGGCCCAGGAGCAGCCGGGAGGTGGTCTGCATTGGCTGAGATGGGAGATGCGCAGAGGGACCAGCACTTGGATCAGGACAGGGAGGGGCCCGGGGCTCTTTTCCAACCTCCTCCTTGGGTGGAACAAGGGAACGTGTGGAGTGTGGACGACAGGGTGGGGGAGACAGTGTGGTGGGGACTAGGGTCTGCTTAAGACACAGAATCCCAGATCCCTGGAAGCACCTGGGACTGGCTGCTCTGACCAAAGGCGGCCATCCAGGTACCCACAGGGCTCCGTGGACCCCAAGGTTTCTCCAGCCCGCCGCCTGCCATGATTCAAGCTGCTGAGCATCCCCAGTGCCCGCCCGCCCCCACCCCCCCTGAAGGGTCTGCTTCCTTCTCTGACCCTGAGCCCCCTAACTCCTAACCCTGCATTCCCAAGAAGTAGTGGTCTAAGGAGCCAGCCTCGGTTCCCAAAGGCTCCAGGACCCCATTCTGCACTGGTGACCACGGGGCCTAAAGTGCACCGAGGACTGCACACTGGACACACAGCAGGACCAGAGGCACCACCCAGGGCCTGGTGGCACAGATGTTGCCCCACTTTGCTTTGTTTGTTCGTTTCTGCCACCAGGCCCCCAGGAGCCCACCGAGCTCCTGATGGCCCTTCATGAACCCTGCTCACAGACCCCAGGCGGGCCCCTGCCCAGCTCTGGCCTACTGGCAGAGCAGCCCCGTGGCATCTGTGATGCCAGCCCTCGCCTCGAGACCACAGAGGCTGCGCAAGCATGTACTACCCCAACTGCTGCCTGAGTTCCTGAGACTGGAGTGCCCCACACCGTGGGCCTCACTAGGACACAAATGGTCTTTTCTGAAGGTAAACAGGCCATGGCTCGGGGGCCTGCCCCGGGTACAAATAACTTAAGGTGGTTAGAACTGAGGAAGCGGCAGGGACACGATTTTGATGGCAATGTCGCATTTCTGGAAATAGAATCTATAGTTGATACTTAGCCGTAATGAGCCTGGCCTGGGAGCTTGTGTTGCCTACCTGTTGAGCGGAGACCACCCTCCCACAATCTCCCCTCCAAATGCAAGCTCTTTGCAAAGTTAATTTCCCGTACCTTTGTGAAGGCCGGGGCCTGGCCATTAGGGGCCATTTATGAAAATGGGAGCGGTAATTGGAACATCTTTTGAAACCCGTTCTGCTCCCCCTAACCCCCTCCCTCTCACAGGGGCCCATCAGCCCTCTAATTTCACTGAGTGGGTTCTGGGGGATGTTTACATATGCCTCTTCCTGGAATTTCACCTCTTTGCTTCAGGAGTGGGCAATTAGAGGGAATTAGGGCCTATTTGGTATGTTTACCGTTAATGGACGGAGTGAGTGGAGGCAGCAGCGCTGGGAAAGGCAGCGGCTGGTCTAATTGAAGCTGGCAATTTCGCAGGTACTGTAGCAACCAAGGTCACAAAACAAAAGCAGCAGCCCACCGGGTATGGACCTCGCAGAGGACTCTGGGAGCTACCGGTCACTGCAGCACTGGGAGTCAGGGGACACACAGGACCCACAACCTGGACACTTTCCCACAAGTTAGCCCCCTGATGGCTCTGGCAGAGAACTGGAGGCCCGGTGGTCACCGGGGTGTCCTGGGGAGAAGGGGAGCTTCCAGAGGAGCTGTGGAGCACAGCCATGCCCTCCAGCCCGCTCTGCAGCCACAAAGGGGTCGAGGCCCTGGCCAGCAGTGGCCGGCTCACAAAGCACAGTCCCTGCGCCACAGCCTGACAACCTGCTTCAGTCCGGAGCCCTCACCTGCACTAGGCCCTGTGTCCCTGAAAACAGGAGGAGGGTTATGCTTGTCAGGTACCAGCAAGTCGTCCCATAGCGACTGTATGCACAACAGAACAAAACACAGGCCCATCACGCGTGTTCCTGGGCCTGAGCCCAGGGCTGCAGCCACCATGACCGGCCATCTCATCGAGGGAAGGCCTTCCTCTTTTTCACTGAAGGATGGAACCCTGCTAACGGTCACGGTCACAGGTCCCTGAGAGAGACCCTGGTCCTGTCCACCAGGACCACTGATGCCCTGGTCTCTGGGACAGAGCTACCAGTGGTGGCCAGGTCAGCAGCTCTGAAGACATCACCAAGTCACTCTCTAGCCACCAATGGCCACCAAAGTGGCAGAGAGAGCAGACAGGCAAGGCTCCAACCAGGTGTCTGTGCTCCTGCTCCGCCCATTTCCCAGGTGGGGAAACTGAGGCGCTGAGGCCTAGGTCATCACACCCATAGTCGAGGCTGCCGAGGGGCTTAAGTCAAGGCTGCATAAGCCCCAACCAGGGCTACTGCCTGGCCTTCTCTCCAGAGGACCCACAGAAAGCACCTGACTCTGAGTAAGTGGTCCCTGGGGACCACCGACTCCCCCTCTAAGTGGAGGGGATTCACTTTAGCAGCACTACCATCGCTCGCTGACAGGGTGCTGCTGCACTCACATGTGGGGAAACTGAGGCCTGGAACCCGACACGGACAAAGCAAGATTCCCAGCCAGACTGGGCACTGCAGCTCTTTTTCTGGGGACAGGGGCTTTGTCCCCGGCTCTTCTGGAGTGATGGGAGCCCTCAGGGAGATTTGGGGTCCTAGGGGTGCAAACTACTTCCCCTCCAGCCCAAAGGGACCACTTGTGAGGACTCCCTCATTTGCCTGATGACTCTGGGGACCCAGCTGATCTCTTCCCTGACCTCCACCAAGACCAAGTTGCAGCATGAGGACTTCTGATGCCCCCAGCCCCCACTGTCCTAAGCTAGGGAAGGGGTGGGGGAGACTGCCTCCCACCCCCTACCCACAGGACAGCCCAGAGGGTGCTCAGCCTCTGGCCACCCGTTCTGTCTACTGTGCTGTCTCTCAGGCCTCAGGCTCCGCTTGATCAGGGTTAGTTTACAGCTGCAGCCCCTGGAGGCTCCTGCCGGACAGTGGCCATCCTTGAGGTCTTGCTCTCAGGAGGGAGGGGGGCAGAGAAGCGGGTCATTATATCTGACCCCCTGTGCTCCCAATGCACAAGGACCAGGGGGGAGCCCGTTGCCCCCCCACCCCCACTCGAGGGAACACACACATGCACTCTATTCCAGGGGAAGGCAATTGAGTGTCCCTTCCTTTCATGCAAAGAAAGGCCACCTTCCATTGAGAAAGCGCATTCATCAAACCTGGGAAACAGGGCTCTCCCAATTATCCCCAGGTGGCTCTGCACCGTGGGGGTGGGGGCTCCCCCACATTCCTTTCTGTCTCTGCCTTTGTTTCCATCTCAAACAGGACTGGGTCCTCCTGGGCTCAGAGTCTCCTCCTTAAGCCCCTGCCAAAGACCCTATTCACTGGGCAAAGAACAGCTAAGCAAGAGGTGGGGGGCGGCTTCCTTTCTCCCCACTCTCGGATGGGGAGTTAAGCACACTCCATCTGGAGTTTTGTTGTTTTGTTTTTTTTTCCTTAAGCCCAAAGGACTTGGAGGGCAATTAGGACAGCCTTGCCTACCCCGCCACCATGCTTGCTCCCTAATTAACTGCTCTCTCATCCAACCTCCCTTTGCCTGGGGCCCTACACAGCCTCAGGGACCCAGCACCTGCCCGTGCCCAAGGCCAGTCCTCATGGATGGCCAACGGCACAAAGAGAATCGGGGCCCATGTGTCTGGGGACCTTCTCCTTGCACCCCATGGTGCCTCAAGAGTCCAACACAAGGCATCATGGGTGTGCAAAAGGAGAATGACCTATGGAAGCTGACCTTGGGTCCTCACTACTGAAAACCTTAGAAGGCACCACGAGTCCCAGGATGCTGGGAGCCTCTGAGGCTGGTGTCTGGGCACCAACAAGCGGCTAACCCACGTGGGTGCAGCACACTGGGCTTGTGAGCATGTCCTGTCCTGCTGCAGCAACCAGAGGGGTAGACATGGGAAGGGCTCTGGCTCTCCCAAAAAGCAGGGGTAGGGGGAGCACACTATGAGACGTGGGGTGAGCAGGGCTCTCCCAGCTTCATCCCTGGCTCCAAACACTGGCTCGGTCCACGCCAAGCAAAGGTGCCCCATCCCTCACATCTCCCCCTAAGGGTGGTGCCAAGTGACCTTCAGCCGGCCTCAACTGGGCTGAGCCCCTGGCCTGTCTGGGACAAGAGTCACCATGATGGCCTTCTCTCTCCCACTCACACTTTGGGACCCCAGGGGCTCGGAACATCCCCGTCTGGGGAGCTACTGTCTCCCAGAACTATTTGCTCAGCGCAGGGATGGGAGATCAAGCTATCAGCATCCTTGTCACTACCGTGAAAGAGAGGGCAGGATCCAGGAGGACAGAACCAGGAGCTAATGCCGGGACTTCCTCACAGCTCGGGTGCGATCCCTCCTCGGACTTGGCTGAGAACACTCACCTCAGTGCTCACTCGTTCACCACTGTTAGTGGTGTGTTAGTCCTTGTGGATGTTCGTGTGCCCGCCCCTCCTGGGCCAAGCCCCCTACCCCCTCAAGGAAAAACTCATCAGCAGGCTTCTTAAAGGTAGGATTGTGTTTGCTTGATTTTTGTCTGTCTGCCTGTCTGTCTGTTTTCTTTCTGGAAGCCACACTGCTCATAAAAAACACATGTCGGCAACCGCTTGTAAATGAGTCAACAGGAAACACATGTGCCCACTGTACTGCATTCACGCCAGGCTGAGACATTTCTTTGGGGCAATGGACTCAGAGCTTGAAGCAGACTCAGGATGTATGAGATCGGGGGGGCCCTGGGTGCCGTGAGCAGCCCCATCAGACAGGGTGCAGGTGAGAGGACACCTTGTCCTTCCCTAGAACACATGGTGTCCCCCAAACCTCCACCCAGTAGGACGTTGGTGGGAGAGGAGGGGCCCTCGGCTTTGGAACAAGACCACTTCCCTAATATCTTTGTCTACCTAGGAACTTACAACCCCAGGGGTTCCCCCGGGGAACAGGAGTGCTAATGCACCATGACAGATGGACAGGGAAGTCCATGGGGTCCTCTTGGCCTTGCTGCCTGGCAGGCAGGGGGTGGGGGTAGAGTCAGGGTGCTTCTCACTACTCAGAGATGGTACCAAAAGGAATCTAAAGAAGAATCCCAGTCAAAAGGGGGGGGGTGGTAAATGCAGAAGCAAATCTTGGATTCTCATTGAATCCAGAGTTTCTGAATCTGCAGAGGGTGGATGAACCCCTAAAACTATTGCCTGAGATCACCTCTAACCAAAACTAGCCCCAGAAGTCTTCTTCTTACAGGCAAGCAATAGTTCAACTGGTCAAAAAGGTCTGCCTGCAGCACGGGACAGCTTTTAAAGACTACCCACTCACTCATCCCCTGCTATGGAGTCAAGGCCGATGCCACGGGCCCTGTAGGGACAGGACAGAACTACCCCTGGACTATTTACAGGAGCAGAAAGCCCGGTCTTCCTCCTACAGTGGCTGGGGGTTTGAACTGCGGACCTTGCAGATCGCAGCCCAATGCATCTCCACACCACCACCAGGGTTCCCAAGAACAGCCGGGGATCCGTCTACAACCATCCACAGGGGATCCAAGTGGTGGACACTCACACTCGGCTCACACTCATGTTCTCTCCTTACGGGACAGAACAGAACTAGCCCTGGGAGTCTCCAAGACTTTGAATCTTTACACGCTTTTAAGAGCTAAGACAGCCCCCTCTTCCTCCCATGGAGCGGCGGGTGGGCTCACGGCACTGGCCTTGTGGTTTATAGTTCAATACATAACCCACGATCACCAGGCTGACGGTCCCCGGGAACTTGGAGACCCTCAGTGCATGTTAATGCGAGAGGAAGAGCTAGGGAAGGCGTTGAGAATGGCTGCCCGGCCGCAGGGCTGTGCCAGTGGCTCTGACTATACTTGTAAGTACAGTCTGCTGCTGAGTGGGTACATGTGTGCCCGCGGACACGCTCAGAATGCAGTGCTTGTGCCCACCAACGCTTCCCGGCAGCCTTTCTCCCCTTTCTGAGATGATGGTCTACAAAGCGGACGGACCATGTGGTTTCAGCTTCTCTCATGGAGGGTTTGACGTAGTTTTAGGGGCATCCCTGCCTAAAAACCACAAGTGTGTGTTTGCAGGAGACTTCCCATCCACGAGGGTCCCTAAATCAGAACTCTGTCCAGAGCCTTTTGATCCTTCCCGCTGTGTGCTATGGGGGAGAGGCTCCCTCCAGAGGAGGGAGGAGGTGGGGGCGATGGTTGGTTGGTACGAAGAGTTAAAGCGCTGGGCTGTTCACCCAAGAGGCTGGTGGTTCAAGACCACGCAGGGGTACCTCAGAAGAAATGCCTGGCAAACTCCCTCCTACAAACCAGGCTGTGAACAGCCCCACGGAGCGCAGGTGTGCTCCGACACTCACTGGATGGACTCTTGGCTGGCACTGCCCCTTTGGTCTCACCTTCCTCTTCATTGTGCCCACCCCAGTTGAACCTTCCCTCGTGTCTCGAGAGCTCCCCAGGGAAAGATATAAAAATCTATGGCTCAGAGAGATGCTTTTTTCAGAAGCGCAGAGCCGCCCACCCAGAGTCCAGCCCCCCTGACTGCGCAGTGCTCCCGCCTGCCCCCTCTCGCGGTCTGTGTTTGCAGGTGGCTCAGCAAATGCCAGCTTCGGGTAAATGTCACAGGACCATATCTTCCCAGCACAGCGTCCCCCCCACACACCCTTTCCGGAGCTGGCCCTGGGTACATACTCCCCACTGCCTGCCCGCCCGACTGCCGCTCTCCAGAGAGTGAGGGTGACCTGGGTTGCAGGAACAGATCTGGTGGATAAATTCACCTACCACCCTTTTCTGGGGAGAAGAGGGGCTCATGGGGAGCTGATGGAGGGGCAGCACCCCAGGGTGGTGGGTGCCCCCATCACCTGGGTGGATACACTGAGGGTCTGAGCATTGAGGCCCTGCTCTCCCGCAGAAGCCCCAAGGAGCATCAAGGTGGAGGTTGGACCTACTAGAGGCCCCACAGCTGTCTGCAGAGTTGAGTTAGCTTCACCTTCTTCCTAGAGGCCCTTATCTCCCACCTGGCCACCCCTCTACACACCCTGCACCTACTGCTTCACCCAGCTTCCCTGGGAGGAAGTTCTAAAACTCACCCACTGCCACCCAACTCAAGCCAGGCTCCCGGGAGCCCAGAAAGGGGGTGCCCCAACTGGACTTCCTCACCCCATCTTGCTGCAGTCCAGGTACAGGTGGGCCCAGAGGGCCCATGGCACCACATGGACACCCCAGGACACCCCAATTTGACCCACTAGTCCTCAAGCACAGCCTGGATTGGGGTGCCTCCAACAGCACCCCAAAGCCCATAACTACCCTGCATTTGCATCCTGACTCAATGAACCCAATAGACAAACACCAGGTCCCAGACGGGCTCCTGTGGCTGCCCCTCCCGGCCCCCCACTTCTCGCAACAAACTCCCAAACCCTCATCTCCATCCAAAACTAGGGCTGAGGAAAGAAGGGCCACCAGGTGCCCCCTCCCATGTGCTGAAAGGTCACTGTCAAAGGCCAGGGGGGAGGGACCGGGGTTCTCCCCAGGAGGGACCGGGGTTCTCCCCAGGAGGGGCGCTGCTCTATTTCCAGGGGGCTGGGGGCTGCGGGCTGGGGCAGGTGTTGTGACTGCAGAGCAGGCAGACAGACAGATCCAAACCCATTCCCAGCTTGGTTCGTTTCGGCCCTGCTGATGACCTATGTGCAAACCTCTAGCCAAAGGGGTAGAGGTTCAAGTCTACCCAGCGGCACCTTGGAAGAAAGGTATGATGGCCAATTTCTAAAGCAATGTCAGTCCTTGAGCGGCCTGTGCGGTACAGTGCTATGTGGTCACCCAGTGTCCGGGCGTCGGAGCCGGTGCTCCTCACTTACCTGCCCTCAGCACACACCAGGTGGTCAGGGTCTCCACTCCAGGCAGCTTTGGGCCCACCGCCTGCTGGTGTTGCTGTAGAAGGAACCCCAAGCCCCTGGCTAGAAGCCCCCTCCCCCAGCCTAGGAGTGTCTGCCTTCCTGACCTGGAGAGGGGTGAGGGGGGCCTAGCAAAATGACGGTGACGCAGAGACACTCACTCACCCGGAGCAGGAAGGGTCCGTGCGTGGGGTGCGACAGGGCAGCGTAGTGGCTGAGGGAGCTCCTGGGTCTCTTCCATCGGTTCTTCAGCCGGCCTGCCGGGTCACCGCCTGTGTGCCCAGAACAAGGCCAGCCTTGGGGAGGGTCAAAGAGTTAGAAGTGCTGGCAGGCAAGCAACCAGGGTATGTGTATGTGTGTCTCAATCTCTCTCTCTCTCTTTCTTTCACACACACACACACACACACACACACACACACACACACACACACACACACACACACACTAGACCTCTCTCACACACACACACACACACACACACACACACACACACACACACACACACGGTAGACCGGTCTCACCTGCTGTAGGTTGCGAGGTGACAAAGACAGACAGGAAAAGAACACGTGGCCCCGCTGGGGCAAACCAGCACAGGGTCACTGGCAAGGTGCCGTCCCAAGGGTCTCTGGTTGCAGAGGGACAGGATGAGGAGATGGAGATGCCAGCAGGGACTTTGCCCTGGGCACTGAGAAACCGAGGGAAGATGGGACGAGCCCCTCCCACCCACCACCCCCTCTGCAGGCTGGAGTGGGTTCTGGGGCTGGGGCGAGGGGGCGTGCTGGGACTTGCTGGCAGGTGGGAAGTATGCACGGCAGCAGGTAGGGTGAGGCCCCCACGAGTGGGGGCTGTTGGGCGCAGGGCTGGGAGCTCAGGGGACCCAGCACACAAGAGGGAGGAGGGAGAGCATCCAGCAGCCAGGGCACTGCAGGGGATACTAGTTATAAGCAGAGCACCTGGAGGGGTTCATCTGGCCACCAGGCAGGGCAGAGCAGCAGGCAGCAGGGAGAGGGGAGCCAAGCCACTCCCTGGAGAGTCCTAGCCCTGGTATTTTGTAGTGGTCCCAGGACTGGGGGGCGAAGGGCACTGGATTCAGGCCCTGTGAGGAGGGAGTCGGGGAGATGGAGGGGGACAGGTCCAGAATGTGGACCCACCTCAAGAGGGAGACCTGTGTCCCAACTATCAGGGGTGCCCCGGTCTGTGCTCCCACGTCTATCCCAGTCTCTAAGCCAGAGGACGGTCCAGCACAGCCATCAAATATGGGGCAGGGGGAGGGAGAGGCAGCCAATCAGGCAAAAGCAGCCCTGGGAAGGGGCAGGTGAGTTCTCTGGGTTAGAACGGAAGGTCAGTGGCCAAATGGCCAGAGACAGGAGATCAGGCGGCCCTTCGGGCCCCATGCACCTGCTATCTGGATTCCCAACAGGAGCGACCCCCCTGCTCTTCAGGGGGACTCAGAGGCCATCAGGGGTGTGCTACCGTGAGGGTGCCCAGCCAGCGTCCGGCGACTGGGCATGCTCGATGAGGATCCACTGTTGGCCGACGGGATGGACCAGCGAGTGAATGGGGGGCGCGGCCAGTGGAGCGCTGCCTGCTACGCCGGGACCTCCAGGAGCCCACCTCCCCCCACTGCTGGCGCTCAGCTCCCCACTTCTCGGCCGGGTCCCCTTATTGACTCGCTCGTCCAAACAGCCGTCCCACATACTCTCACGAGCCCCTTTTGTGCCAGGTCTAAAGCTGGGACACCCAGAAAGGGAGCGGGGACAGCCTAGAGCACCCCAGGAGGGTCCCAGCCAGGTCTGGGAAGAGACACCGAGAGAACTGTGTGGGGAGGTGGGGCGGAGAGAGAGATGGCCTGGGAGGGTAGTAAGGAGAGTGGGAGAGGCAGAGGGGTGGGGCGGGGATAGAGAAGCAAGAGTGGCCGGGGAGAGGTAGAAAGGCCCGGGGACAGAAAGAGCAACAGGGAGAGGAAGCAGACAGAGCAGGCGCAGTGAAGAATGATGGCCAGAGCTCTCCTGACCCCCCTGGAACCTTTTTGTCTGGTTTCAACCCATCTCCCCACTGTCTCCTGACCCCCCCGGGAAGACCTCCACAGCTCTTCTAGGAGCAGGGTCCCACGGACACCTCAACTGGGACCTATGCCCGTGGGACGCACGAGGCCCCACCTCTCCTACTGGCCTCGGGAATAACAGACCTGGCTGGCAGACAGTGAGACACCTTGGTGAGTTTCCACCTCCGCTGCCCAGAGGCAACACACCAGGGATTCTCAGAGCCTGGGGTACCAGGCGGTCCACAATTGTGTGTGTCAGGAAACCCCAAGGTCCAGAAACCCTGTGAGCGCCTGAGGTCCTTGCCCCACTTCCATCTCTAATGTCCTCAGGGGGTATGGACACGGCTTTTAATTATTGATGGTTTGATGGTGGGGGAGGGGGGGTTGTCACCGTTGTTATGTTTGCCCTAAAATTAAGTTTGGAAACCTCATCTTCTCCAGGAACTCCAGTGCTAGGCTTTGGAAAGCCTGCTGTCTCATCCAATCAACATGAATTAAGTCCTCTCAAGTGACCAAACTGTGGATGGTTGAGACTGGGGCTTGCTTCCCTAGGGGGCTAGGGGGCTGGAGGCTGCAGGAGGGGCAGGGAGGGTGCTCAGCGAGTGGATAGTGCAAACTTGATAAGGGCATCCCACCCCCACCCACCCACGCTGCTTTAACCTTTTCTTCTTCCAACCTCTGCCTGTCTCCCTCCATTTCCTTCCTTTGGGACAGAAGGTCTGGCTGGAGAGGACTTAAGTGGCTGATCTAATCTTGATTGATTCTGCCTTGGGGTGAGAAACATCCAGATCTCCAGACAAACGCCAGCCCCTTTCAGGACTCCGGTCCTCCCTCTATGAAAGGTGCAGGGCTCCAGTGAGTTTGGGTGGCCGGGGGCAGCGACGGGGGCCGGGGTACGTACTTGGTGGTAAACACTGGGGCCACAGGTTCTGAGAGGAGCACTCCTCTACACCCACACTGAACTGATTGGGCCACCTCACCAACCACTTGCCCTTTCTGAGACTCACTGCCAGCCCCAAGGCTGCTGCCACCCCCTGGCAACCCCATGCCCATTGGAGCAAACCATCCCATGATCCTTTGTGGATCTGAGCGCTGCAATCCACATGGCGGTCACTGGCTGAGGATGGGAAAGAGATGACCAGGCCTTTCTTCCTTGTCTGACCTAGTCTGGAAGCTCCACTGACACCTGTTGCCTCCCAGCCACCAGCACGTCCCACTTGACACACAGTGTGCGGTGCACAGTGCCCTGCACGGAGAGTGAGAGCCGGACAGCTGAGCCACTACTGCCCCCGCCCGCCCCCGTGCATTTCATCTCCTTATCAGGGGGCGGGGGGCCTTCTAGTCACCTCGGGACAAGCTATGACCTGTGAGCTGGTGAATCCTGTGTGATTCGCCCTGTTCTATCACTCGGCAACCTCCAGTTCTTTTAAGATGTTGCTAGGTGGGAGCTCAGAGGTGGCGACAGGCTTAGAGGGCACCCCTCTTCCTATGTACCTACATGTGGGGTCAGACCAAGAATCGGCCAGTGGGGTGGCCCAGGCTCAAAGGAACTGCCCCTGAGACTTCAAGGAGAAGCTGAGACACCACGCTGTGTGGCTCTGGACTGTGTAGGGCCCTTGCCCTGTGGACACCTCATTATGATAATCAGTGTATTTTTCCCGCGCACAAAGGCTACTTATGAGACGAGTATTGGAGTCTGACAGCCACCTCATTAATATCTGCAGCCTCTTCCTTCGACAAGGCCCAAGATTAGCCGCATGTTCATTAAGGGAATGAGGCAGACAGAGGAATAAACCCAAAAACCCCAGCCGGAGGTGGGGAGAGCAGGGGAGGGCCCTGGTCTGCAGGCCATTCATTCACTGAATGCCTCCCGGACCTTCCAGATTTAATCACTGACCAAGTGGGCGGTGGGCCGGGGGAGTCTGGTTGACCAGGATGCCAGAGGGGGTGTGGGGTGCTGGAGGGGGGGGGTAGAAACAAAGTGACGGGAAGGAGTTAAGCCCAAGGCCAGACTTTCCAATTGAGAGCTTTCCTACATTCTACGGTGTAAACCCTTCTTCCTGTTTAATTTCTTTTAGCCTGAGCAGACAGGACACATTTGGGGGATTGGTTTTTAATATCCTCTAAGTCTCCTTTTCCTCCTTTTTGTGTGTCTTCAATCCCCTCCTCATTTCTGTCCCCTCTGTCCCCTCCTCCAGCCACTCCGCTATGATCTTCTCATGGGACTGCCAGCTAAGAAAATCTACCTCGACACGCCCCCCCCCCCACACCCATTGCCTTTTGTCCCAAGCCCTTGGTCTTCCCAAGCCCTTCCAAATCATGCCAGATGTGTTACCTGTAGGCTAACCAGCCCCCTGGCCTGCCTGGTAAAGGTCATTAAAGATCGTTAGTTCCATTTTGCAATGGAGGACAACAAGGGGTTTTGTGGTCAGATGCACAAGGCCTGTGTGCAACGGCGGCTTCACCAGGACTCGAACCCAGGTCGGTCTGACTCTAGAGTGCTTCCCTCCGCAAGGTCGGCAAGAAGCAGGTTCTGGACCGGGGCTGGCCTGTGTCTGCGAGTGCCCTGGGTAAACCAACAAGGCCTGGAGGCCCCCGGTGTCCCAGGCAGGGTAGCCATGGAAACAGTGGGTGCTGGGTGCCAGCTCGGCAAAGCCCAGCAGGGGAAATGGTCATGTGTCGGGTGTGTCCCTGTGTGTCCCTCTTGTGTCCGCATGTGGAGAGGCTAAGCGACTGAGCAGACGTTACCTGGCTGGCGGGAGCCGTTAGTCGGAGGAGAGAGGTCAAGAGCAGTGGGTTGAAGAAGAAATTGGAGGTGAGGAGTGAAGAACAGCAGGGGTGGCGGACAGGCCTTTCGAGAAGCCGGGCTGTGAAAGGAAAAGGAGAGGGTGTGGCGAGAAAGTGCAACTGCTCAGGACAGTGAGACCCAGGTGGGCGGGCACCAGGAGTAGAGACTGCCCCTCAGAGGGCATCGCCAAGGCTCTGAGACAGGAGGGCCTGGTGTACGGGGTGCAAATGCTTGGTGAAGCCAATAGGAAGACACCTTGATGGCCCGAGTGTCCCCGTGAGACAGCAGGCCGGACGAAGTCAGGCCAGGGCATTATGGGGATCAAATGAGGACGTGACCGACCGTGTGCCCAACAGCGGACGGCAGGCACTCTCGCCTGGACGCCTCTATTTTCCAGCCCATTCGGCCCTCTCTGGGGTTGGGATATTTAGCAACCATAAGTGATTCGCCCAGCACATGAAGGATGCTTTATAAAAAAATTTAAAAAATGATAAGACAGTGTTAAAAGCTCCTGCCAGGAGCGGGGAGACAAAAGGTCCCCTTTCTAATAGCCTGGATTAACTCAAAGCAGATCTCCGCCCACTTCATTTGTCACCTTCCAAGTCATCCTTCCACCTTACTTAATGTGCCACATAATCCAATCAGCCGCTTTCCGATGCCCAGGAGCCATTGTCTCCAACAAGCCCTTGCTCTAGAGCTGGCCCTGGAGTTCTTTTTGTCTCATCTGGACAAAACTGGTTGTGGCTTAAAAGGGGGACGGATGAAAAGGGCTGTCCAAATGAGGACCCCCAATTAGCTTTCAAGACCCTGTTCGCTTCATCTCTGGGTCCCTCTCCTCACCTCACCCCGCATGCTGGAGGAGACTGCTGCGTGGCGACGTGTTTGTTTATGGGGCACAAGCCTGCACCCCAGCACCTTATGGTTATTCCTGGGGGGGAGGACAGGGCTGGACATGAGGGTGACGAGGAACAACAGCCTCAAGCTGATAAATGTCTAGCAATTTCCACAGTCATTTACAAAGCACTTTGAGAGCAGTTATATCATTTGGCCTTCCACAGTGTCCTGTGTGGGAGATAAACGTTTGAGCATGGTTTTCGTGGGGGTTTTGTTTGGGCGTGTGGGGAGCAGTTACGTGGCTATTGTATTTGTTTATTTGGTTGGCCCACTAAAGGAACTGAAGCCTGCAGAAGTTAAAGCAACGGGTTCAAGGTTACATCTCACTGCGAAGAGGTGAAGCCAGCGCACACTGCCAGCACTGGGGGCCATGTAGCGCCCCCCGCCCCCCAAGACCACCCTGAGCAGCTAGGATTTCAAACAGACTGTCCATTGTCAACAGCTTGATTGGAAATAAAAGGCCTCTTGGTGGACCTCCACATGTCAAGGGGCAACAGTGAGGCCGAGGGGCAGCTATAATGGCCCCCAGGGTCTAAGCTGACCCCCTCTTGCCAGCCTTGAGACAAGTACTTATGTTGCCTCGGCTCCAGTTTCTTTGTGGCGCCTGTGGACCAAGCCCACCCTGAAGGGAGCTGGGTTCCACTTCCCTACCCCTCTCCCTATCCCCCCCACGCCCACCCCCTAGTAAAGGTGCGTGTGCCTCCCTATGGATTCCCTCGCCCTCCTGTCAAAGTGCCTTGGAAAGGACCACATCCACGACCCTGTCCCACTCACGCCAGCCCACACCATCTCTGCGAGGGTGCCCTACCTGGAGCCAGGTGTGCACAGGGACTGTCGGCAATGCTGCTGGAGAATGAACGAGAAAAGTGAGCGAGCAAGAACGGATTGACCTTCCACCCTTTGGGACACACATTTGTGGCTGGCCTCGGCGTGGTGTGGCCACGCTGCCTGAGGCTGCTCTGTCATTTCAAGCTCACAACCACCCCGGGGGGTCGCTCCTATCCTCCGTCCCACCCCCCACCCCCCCCTCACTATGGACAGGAAAGAGGTGGGCTCAACCTCAGAGGTTCAGTAGCACGGCGTTAAGATACATGCTCCTACCAGACACCCACAGTGGGCCTGGGTCGCCAGCAAAAGGCTGGCCATGCTCTGGGCCCAGGTCCCCCTCCTGAGAAATTCCCAGAGGGATCCTTCCAATGAGGACATCATCAGAACCGGGTGACAGAGACCGATACCACCTTGGGCAGGGAAACTCCAGTTTGCTGGCATGTTAAAGCAAGCAAAGACACGTGGAAACATCCAAGCATTGAGACACAGCAGAGGTCAGGGGTTAAGGACCAATGCCCCCTCACTAGGGCATTGGTTTAAGTCTGTCGCCAAGAGGAACAGGCTCTGGGTCCTCATCCTCCTGTGCCGCCCGACTTGGTCCTGGGTGGGGTGCGGGGTGAGGTCCTCTGGCAACTGCTCTCAGGGTTGGTGGTCTCCTGGGGTCTGCGCTCCTAGTGCAATTGAACAGGTCAGAGGGTCACCTTAAGAAGCCAAGTCTAAATAGAATTACTATGTAAATTCATTCATGACCTTCAATATCCAATAACATTTTAATTAATCTTTTAATTGCTAGTGGGTTTGGGGGGGTATAAGGAGGGTGGAGGGTCAGGGGGTTTCCCTTGCCACATCGTATAGAAAGCACCACAAAGCGATGTGTACAACCTGCTGTGGAGACCAGCACCAACAGCGTGGCGTTGTGTTCGGAAAGGTGGCCCTTGCAAACCGGAGGGAGAGCGAATGCTGTCATCCTGGAAGAGACCCTATAGCATATGGGAAGGGGGTAGATTAGAAACCATCTTGATGACCTCTAATGGCTACCACAAGAGCAGCAAAGAGAAGGAGGGGATGGACAGAAGGGGAGGGCAGGAGAGAGAGAGTGGGAGGGGCAGTCAGAGAGAAGGGGAGGGGGGAGCCAGAGGGGCCAGGGACAGAGAGAGAGAGGGAGGGGCAAGAGGGATTCGAGAGAGGGTGAAGCCATTGGAGAGAAAGGGGTGGGGTGTCAGTCAGAGAGAAGGGGGAGACATTCAGAGTGGTGGGGGCAGAGGGGGAAATGAAGAGAGAGGGGGGCAATCAGGGAGAAGGTGAGGGGGCAGTGAGAGGGGTGGGGATAAAGAGGGAGGGAGCAGAGAGAGAGGAAGGGGCAGTCAGAGAGTGAGGGAGGAAGGTAGCCAAGGAGAGAGGGAGGGGCAAGGAGGAGTGGTAAGAGAGAAAGGACTTACAGGAGAGGCCAGCCATAGGGGGCGGGGCAGGGAGGGTGGTAATCAAAGGGGGTGTGAAGTTAGAGGAGGGGCAGAAAGAGAGGGAGGGGGCAGTCAGAGAGGAGGAAGGGACCTACCAGAGAGTGGGAGGGGGAGTGAGAGAGGGGAGGAGGGAAGTGTGGGTGGAGAGAAGAGGAACTGGGAGGGGGAGGAGAAATGGGAGGGGCCTCAGGAGAAAAGTGGGCGGGGGTAAGGATAACGATTGACAAGTAACAAGTGTTAGGTCATGTGCGCATGCGCAACTCGAAGTCGGTCTTAGCAGGCGGGAACCATTGACCAGCGCCATTTACAGTTAGCGACCGCTAGGCGGCGCGCGCCCCCCACCCAGCACCCACTTGCACTGCCACCTGCGGCGCGCCCGCAGCCCCCTCCACCCCCCCCAACCCTCACCAGGCTCGCGGCTGCCAAAGACGCGGCTGGAGAGGGTGGGGGGGTGGGCGCCCAACAGGTTTCAAGCTGGGGGGCACAGTCCACCCCAACACGTCGTAAAGGGCTGCTATGTCCCCGAACGCCACAGCGGGTCGCAATCCACCTGTAGACACCAAGCAGCCCCCCCCCACCGCTACCACCCCCCATATAGCTGCCTGGCGCCCCTCAAACGTGGGAGCCACACCACACCAGGGAGACAGAATGAGATCAGATCGAGGCGACGTTCGCCATAAGGGTCTTCCAAGAGTTCGAGTCCATTCACCGTACGTAAAAACAGCAATCTTGGCTCAGACCTTCAGTATATTTAATTAAAACTTAAATTAATTAAACCTAAGAAGATCCAGTTTTCCACACACAGATTTCCCTCGTCTCTACCGTTTCGGGACATGTGGTACGAAATGCGGCATCGCTACAAAAATCGTATACAAGAGGCCAAAACTCCTCCGAGTCTCCCCCTCCTCTCCTTCGCCCTCCCCACGCAGCGCCCCCCAATCTCCCCTCCCAACTTTGCCCCCCACAAGAATTTCAAGACTGCCTACCAGGCGCCTAATTATCCTTTTTTATGGTCTCTTCATCCTGCCCAAAAGAGTCACACCTTCCTGAACAAGAACCCCCGAAAGTAAAACCGACTGAAAAAAAACTCTTTGGGGGACACGACACCCCAAGTCATAAAACCAGAGCCAATTGTGGGACCTGTGCACACAGAGCACAGCCTGCAGGCTCCCCCCAGCCAACCTGGGGGTCTTCATGCAGATGCCCCTTTAGGGTAATGAATCCAGAAACCACTCACAATCCCGCGCCGACCCCCTCCAACAGGAGAACAAAGGCCACGTCCCTCCCCACCCCGCCCCCCCAAAATTCCGCAGTGCCACCACCGCCCTCTAGCGTCCAACAGGAGAACTACCAGAAACCTGCCACGTAGCAGCCTCCTCACGCCCCCCCCCCCCAAATCCGCTGGACCAAGAGTGGGGAGGGGGTGGCATGGGGGGGCTTGACAGGGACAAAGGAAACGGCAAAAGGCTATTTTACCAAAATTTAAGTGCCCGCAACATGTCAGGCTTATCCAGTGCTCCTCACTCGCAATTCTAAAGACGCCCCCGACCCCCAATCCCCAGCTCCCAGACGCACCCCCACCCAAAACACCCCCAGAAACGCATATTTATCTTCCCTTTAGATTATTCTCCCCGGGATCCAAGAACACAGCCTTCTTCATGCCCCTAAACACCCGCTAATTCTATGTCCTCTCTGGGCTCCCCATTGCCGACCTTCCCCTGGTCTCCCCGACTCCTGGGGCTGAGGCAGGTTTGCAGCTGGGCGCCATGTCTCCCCACGATTAAAGTGGAACCCGACGAAACAGGGTGGGAAATTCCCTAAATTTCGACTGGACTCGCTCGTCACTGAGCCCGTACCGTGTCTGGGATGCCGCGTCCCGCAGATGGGAATCGCGGTCTCCCACGCCCACTGTTCACGCACAGCCTGACCGCTAACTATTGCGGGGACATGGACCTAGTGCGTCCTTTTTCGTGGGTTTCTCCCCGCACCCTGCCCTAACTAACGGGAAGAGCAGGATGCATCCGCCCGCCATATCCTACACTACCTCGTAACGTGGACCTGGAGGGGTCTCAAGACCCCAAACCGGACTTTTGGACCGCAGTGCCTACGGGACCTTGATTCCAACCCAGGTTTGGGACTGGGCTCCTGGACTCTGCTGGTCACCTGAGACCCTACCAACGAGCCTGCCTTCCCACACTGGCCAAGGACCCTGATTTCCCCCCCGGAGAAAAAAATGTGCCTGCAGCTAGCTCGCTATGCCTTCTCCTCGCAAGATTGCTCGGCTGGCGCTCGGAGACCAGGCGAGGTGGCCGCCTTCAGGAGAAGGTCGGTCCTGCGGCGGTCTCCCTGGCGTGTCCAGGAGGACACAGCCCAGCTCGGGAGGAGGTGTCGCTTTCCTTTTGCACATCCTTTCGGGCAAGCGAGGATGGCCAACCACTCACCAGATTGGGGTTCTTCGCGTGGGCGCCCCGGCGCTCGGAGGAGCTGCAGCCGCGGCCAGTGAGCGAGGCCAAGGCGCGCTCCATCCCAGCTCTCCGCCGTCTGCGCCAGGGGCTGCCTGGGTGGGGTTTATATCGAGTCGCAGAAGGGGTGGTCTCTGACGTCAGCGCATTCTGCTGCAATGCGCTCATTTCTCCAAAAGCGATTGGCCGGAAAAATGAGCCCCCCAGATTCGATGACAAATTGCCCTGGCCGCACCCAGACTGCAGCAAAGAAGGGCAGGAAGATCTTCTGCCGCATTGCCGCTCGCCGCCATGACCAACACCCTCTGGTCCTCGGCGCTTCTTCCCTGTAGGAGCCCTGTTCCAAGCCCAGGGGGTTAGTGTCCACCCTGCGTGGGCAGAAGGGGACCCGGGGTGGTTTAACTGAGGCGGGTGCACGGTAACACTCGCGGGCTGCCGAACGCAAGCCACGCCTGGCGACGTCCGAGCATCTACCGCGAAAAGTGTGCCCAGGGTTAACCAGAAAACCAGCCGCTTTCCACTCTTGCCTTTGAGATGAAGCTATCCCTGGCGAGATAACCGGTTCCCCTAAGGGATTCGGGCGGTTGTCACCCGCTTCTAGCCCACCCATCCATTCCTGATTGGTCGTTTTCGACACGGGAGACCCCCACGCAGCATTTCCGAGTCTGAAAACCTGGTTCTGGGTCCTCATCTCTGCCACTCATAACCCGTGGACCCCAAATTCTATCACTGGCCCTTCCTTTACAGTGTGTGGGGGGTCCTTTTCCCGATGTGAATACCTGGCACCTCTCATCGGGATGGGGATAAGAATCTAGACTATGAGTCGTTCGTGTCCCTTCCAGGAAAAGTACTTTTGAGGGAGGACTGCATCCTAGGAGGAGATACTTGAGGTACCCACTTAAAGTTGGGGTGATTGCATACACACTCTGAATAAGCTGCACACACAGACCCCTCCTCCACAGACCTGGGGAGACAGGCAGGGACGCGCGTTCCTGCCGGGCCTCGTGCTCCCTCCAAGACTTGGCACCGAAGAGTTAATCCTTAACAGGTGGCACGGCCAGCAAGCTATGCCTGGCACTGAGTGGCGAGAGCGGGCAGGGCCGTCAATCAAATGTCCTCTTGCAAAGGTCAGAATGCTGCTGAAAGGGACTTCGGATCTATCTTAGGGTGACAGGTGGGTGGCAGCCGGGAGGGCCAAGGATGGAGGGCCTGGTGACAGAAAAGGGGTGAGAATTAGCTAGGTGTCCCAAAGGGGAAACGCGGCGAGGCTGCAGGGGATCATATGAGAACAGCTCCCGGCACGTCGTCCAGAATCGAGGGGGGGTGGGTCCCCATGCTCACTGCCTGCCAGGTGCCTATCAACGAGAGGACATTCCGGGGGCTCGGAAGGAGGGAGAGGCCCCCCGGCCAGTGCGGCGCCCCTGGCCAGGGCTGGCAAGAGAGAGAGAGAGAGAGAGAGAGAGAGACCTGGCGCTTCAGGAGGGGGCGTCCTTCGTAAGTGGACGCGACCGCTCGGGGACGTGCAGCCAAATGGATTTGGTGGCCGTGCTGGGGTGGTGGGATTGGGGGGGGTGCTCCCTGAATGTGCAAAGGACTAAAGGAGGACACCCCCCCCCTCTTATCCCAACTAGAGCCTCTGGAAGCAAGACGTGAGGCGGTTGGGGTGGGGGGTAGGGGGCCTGCATGGCCCCAGACCTCAAGAAAACCAAAAAAAAAAAAAAAATCCTGGCTTGGAGCAGTGCCGTCAACAGGACGTTTATTAACCTCCGTATTAATAGCTAGGAAACAGCCGGGCCGGCCGAGACCAATCAGCGGGCGAGGAGCCCCGGTTGTCAGGCCTCCTCAGCCAATCAGACGTCGGCAGGCCCAGTTGCTAGCCTCTGGGGGGGCCAGAAGCGAGGGTACGCATTGTCATGTGGGGCTCCCGCTCCCTGGCCCCCCGTGCGTGGGAGACTTGCGTGGAAGACGAGAGCATCAGCAGTCACGCACTCAGGGTCCGTGGGGGCTCCTAGAGGCGGTGGCTCCCGGCGTTCAAGCCCCGCAACCCTTAGAAGGTCATGAGTCGGGGCTCCGCAGGAGCCCCTGGCCTTGGGAAGGGGCCTCTGGGAGGCCCAAACCTCCAACGCCCAATGGCGTCACTCGCTCAGGCCTGGCTCCTACACGGAAATGAGGCAAAGTGAGCCAGTCGCAGTTTTTTTCCTGGGGCCCCCAGGCCTCCCGAGCCTCTTTCTCAGACTTTAGCAGTAAATCCCACCCCTCTCTCAAGGTCTAGTGACAGGCCAAGGTAACAGACCCTGGGAAATAGGCATTTCCTACCACCACGCCAGAGGGAGGGAAGGGGGTGGGTGTTGGATCCCAGCTCTGTTCCCTGCTAGCTGGGGGGCTAAAGTCCAGGCCCTTCCCCTCTCTGGGCCCCTATTTCCTCATCTGGAGAGGGAAAGGTTGGACAAGCTGGTCCCCAAGGAGCTTCCCAGCCCTGCTTTGCTTGATTTGAATGTATACATCAGGCGAGTCAAATGTCTTCCAGAACATTCTGCCTGACAGTAATTAGTATCAGGTGTATCCTGTAGCCCATGTGGTTACTTCATCATACTGCTTTTCTTTCCATTGTATTTTATTTTAAACAGAACTCCATGGCAACATGTTTATCCTCTGGCTTCCTCAAAGAATGAAAAAGATAGGAGAAAAAAACAGGGGGGTGGGGGGGCAGCAGAAAGAAAAGAACATTGTCAAGGAATCATTACTGAGTGGGCCCTCGCCACAAGAAGGGAAAATATCCATATGTTGAAATGTTTTTGTTGGCTTTCCTGGAGCTCAGAACCCAACTTCTTAAATATTTGTGGGCCCTGAGTGACGGGAACAATCCTCGAAGGAGCCACAGCTAGGGTAAAGTGCGGATCCAGGGCTCCGGGCCGCGAAGTGAGTGCCGCCCAGCACTTGGGCGTTCCTCATGCTGTGAGGACTTTCGAAGGCTCAGATTCCTATCTATAGGGGGAAAGAGACAGCGAAACCCAGGTTTGAAAAACGGATTCTGTACATGCTGAAACCCAACCTTCTGAAGAGGCCTGGAGGGTGGCCAGGTACCAGACGCATGGCTTAGCTTGCTTTTTTTTTTTTTTAAGGTCGATCTAATTCAAAGCACACATTTTTCTCTCTTTTTTCTTTCTCTCTTTCTTTTTTTTTTTTTTTTTTTAAGAATTCATACTCAGGAACCCTCAAAAGCCATGTGTGCCGCCTCCTGCCCACAAGTACATACTTGTGGGCAAGTGTACAAACGTCCTCAGACTCCGCCCGGACCGGGAGACAAGGTCCTCCTGTAACCATGGACAAAGAAGCGTAAACCTGCTCACAAGCCATAGTGCTGCCCTTCACAGGCACGTCACACCCAGCGCCTGTCCTCTCTCCAAGGAGGGCCTTTCATGTCTCCCAGGTGGCCTTGGGATGGTGGTGTTTCCCAGAGATTTTTTTTGGGGGGGGGATCGGCTTTCTGCACACCCCAAGGGACCCATACAGCGGGCGGCTGCTGCTGTAGCTAGCAACACGTGCGGGCTCCCACGCACCCAATGAGAGTATCAATCTCTCCCAGCTCCCTCAGCTCCCTCCCAGGCCCCTCAATCCCCTCAGCAGTTTGTGGGGGCTCCTCCCATGTGGCTGCTTTGAGGTGGGCATTAGTGGGGAGGATCCCCATGCCCATACACCATGGCCTCAAGAGAGCCCCCAAAACATCTCCTGGCATTCTGGGATGGCGGGCTCCACACCAAGACGTCCCCTGTGCTAAACAGTCCTTCGGCGACTGGAGTTGGCATGCAAAAGAAAAGCTGGTTTCTTGAAGTTTAGCACCCAAGCACTTTCACGAGCGGCTTCCTTCTCCTTTCTGGTTATAGCACAGTCCCTGCAAATTGGGTCCCCGCCATGGAACCACCTCAGGGTTTGGAAGGAGGGCTGCCATGGCGGTTGATAAGCGTGGGGACTGCTCCTTCCCCTTCACTGCTGGGCGTGTGCTGTTCTCCTAAAACCAGAGTTCTTTCTGGGGGCAATCTCAACCGTTACCTAGAGGACCCCGCCACGTTGCGGACTCTGCAAAGTCGGTACCATCCAGCGCTTTTCGCCGAAGGAAGGGAGGTGAGCTTTACTCGCTGGGGTCCACTGCAGGGGTTTTAAAGGCAGTGCAGATAAGCTAACTAAACTTCCAGCCATCCAGGCTGGAAATGCTCAACAATAAACAGACACCTCTCTCCTCGTGGCACTGGGCGTGGGGGCTTTCTAAAAGTTTGAGGGAAAATTCCATGATCTGTTCACTCTGCTTTTCCACAGATTTATTTTTTGGAAGACCCCTTCCCCCATCGTATCATGTGGGGAGAGGATGGCTCTTGTGCTCACAGAACACTGCTCATGCGTAGGCCAGGAGGAGGGAGAGCTGGAACGTTCTACCCCAGAATGGTGGTTGCTGGTGGTTCTGGGTGAGTAGATTCCGAGTGATTTTTCTCCTTTCCTTGGGCTTTTATGACTAGTTTTTTACCGGCATGTATAATCTTTAGGATTTCCTTTTTATTTTCTTTTTGCAAACAATGCAATAGTCCAACAGGACTGACCTCCTCCTGAGCGACCTCGTGTGCAAAATCTTTTCTAATAAGCAAATAAAAATCCAAAAACTCAGGACTCTTGCCCGTTGCGAGACACAGTTTCTGGAGATAGGCATCCACCTCTGGGAGATGGGCATGAGGATCTTGGGATCTGGATGTGGGGGTCCGGGGTCCGAGGGGAAGCCACCCAGCATGTCAGACTTCTGCAGGGGTCATCTTGAATGGAGGAGTGTCAGCTGAGAAAAGGAAAAAGAGAAACATGAGCTGCTTTGGTTTGCTTCCTACAGGAAGAGCCTGGAGACATTGTGGAGGGAAGGACAGGGCAGGCCGGTCCTGGGGGTCTCAATGTAGCAGGACACCCCCTTGGGGTGGATCTTAGGAGTCCTATCTTGATACTAGAAGGAGGCAGCCACGTGGCCCCCACACCACTCCCCGTCCTGTCCCCTCTGGCTTTGGGTGTGGGCCAGCCCTGGATTCAAGCTA